AATAGGCTGCCTACTTTCCTTGTGTGTTTTTTGATACTGTGTGCTAATACAGGACATCATTTGGTATTTTTTTAAAAAATCATTAAATTAATTTCATGTTTCCATCTCAAATGATATAGTCATTAAGATAAAAATTACATAAGGGGCACCTCCATAATTTAAAATGAACTAATTTTGGAGTTTTCACACTGACATCAAGGAGCAATACATTAAATTGCTTATTAATTATAGGGGAATCTATTCATCCTTATCTTGTATATTCTTATGCTTGAGTTTCAAACTGAATTGATGAAAGAAACAGATAAAGAAAAAGGAGCACTTCAAACTTTATGAATTTATAACTGTGTTAGTCCAATCATGCTGCTATAAAAAAAGTATTATAAATTGAGTGTCTGTATGCACCATAAATTAATTTCTCACAGTTCTGGAAACTGGAGGAGTTCCAAGATCAAGGTACCAGCAAATTCAATGTCCAGTGCAAGCTACTTCTTTGTTCACTGAAGACTGTTACCACAGTATCTGCATGTGATAGCAGAAGCAAAGCATCTTTTATTAGGAAACCAGTACTGTTCCTTGATCCCACAAAATGATGATGCATTCTATAGCAATCTTGTAGGCACTTCACCCCACAATTTCTGCTCTTATCCACAGTTCTAACTTCCATAGTTTAATTTTAAGATTTTCCCAAGAGAAATTAAAAACCACAAGTCACATGAGTACCAGTACTGTCCCCTGATGATAGGACCCCTAAAAAGGCCTCACCTGCTAACATCATCACAGTGGGAATTGACTTTCAACATAGAAATATTGGAAGAACATGACATTCAATTTCTAGTATATGCTTAAGTATCTGATTAAGGAGCAGTTCTGTTGATGGAATAATTTGGGAAGGGTTGAAGCGATACTGGTCAATGGATATAAAATGGATACAAAATTTCTATTAGGAATAAATTTGACACAATGGTTATTCTATATAGAGTGTGTTTTTGAAAAATGGTAAGGGAATGAATGTAAAGTGTTCTTGCCACAAATAAGATAATTATACAAGGTGATATATGTGGTAATTAGCTATATCTAGACATTCCACAATAAACAAGATATGGTTAAAACACAATGGGAATGTTTAGACTTAAATTATTATAGTAAAAGACAGGTTGCCATTAATTACCCTTCAAGATTTTTCCCCTGCTTTGAATGCATTTATTCCTTCCTTCCTGGCTGCTTTCTAAAATAGATCTGGTAATCTTTTGTGAGTGTCTTTTCATGACTTCCTTGATGGCAATTCAAAATACTTATTTTTCATGGTCATTTTAGCTTAGGGAAAGAATCACAGTTGTACGGAAAGTTGTACGGTTCTGGATCCAGTGTATCAGGTGGATAAGGATACACCAGGTTTTTATTTGTTAGAACTCCCATCAACATTTTGATCAATTCGGGACAGCAAGGTAGCCATGACAAGATTTTTCTGAAGGAGGACTTCCAGAACAAATTCAGAAGGTGGAAAGAATGATGGGATAAATGTATCAGAAAAGAGAGAGAGTGTTTTCAGGGGGGAGTAATGGCAATATATCTTTTGCTATAATGGTTTTTATTTGTACATTCATGATTTTTATCACACATGATATAAATACTTTAAAATCAAATATTTACTAATACATACAAATGTATATGTCAATTTGAAAATAAGTATTAAGAATGAAATTGAAATTTAGAAAGTATAAACAACTATCTAGGAATATTTGTGAGACTTACTGGTATCCTTTTGAATCATATTCTGCAAAATTAATTGAAGATTTTTTTAAGTGCACTACCAAAGTAATTTCTGGCAGAATAGTTTTAATTTTTAAATCATTCTTGTCAAAGAAAGTAAAATAGTAGCATGACTCATAATCTAGTCAACTTTGATTTTTGTGAGATAATTCTTTATCAAAATTTAAAATTTAGTTTAGTCAATTAAAATTTAAAACTAAAACACAGAAACAATAGAATGAAGAAACAGAAAGTTCACATAAAATATGCGACATGAACTGTCTTGGTCACCTTCACTGTAAATACACATTACAGGAGTTTTCTTGCCTTCCTGATAAGAAGCTTGATTTACTGCCACTTGTCCTCTCTTCAAGAGATTGTTCTGGGTTTAGCACACAAATAGCCACCAGACAGGAATGGGAACTTATTGTCCACCTTTTCTCTTTTATGAACATGCAAATTTAATCTCCCTTTACACATTGTGCTTCAGTATTTTAGGCTGGTCTTTATTTTCTTCTATCTCTCCACTTTTGTTTCTCCTGTAGTTCTGCCCTGAGACCTTCATACTTTAATCAGGATGCACACTGATCTGAGATACCTTTAGAAGACTTGTTTCTCATGGAGTTTATTGCTCTGTTTATCACTATTCTGAGTATAAAGAGCTCTTTCTTTACAAACCTTTTTCTCATACCCTAATTATAATCAGTAGTTTAATAATAGCTATTCTAAGTTCTAGGTTCTTTTCTTTTTATTTGTTGTCTTTTTTAATCTTAAGAATTGTTAGATGCCTCCAAGCAAAAACTTTTTGAAGTCTTAAATTGATCTATTTTAATCAATCAAATAAAATTCTTGTGACTCTATATTAATAGATTCCCTAAGAGAATTTCTTACATTTTGAAAATACGGTAGAAAAAATATCAACTGTAACCCAGAAATAAACAAAATGGTAATACTTTCCAGATTCATTGCTTGTCCTGTTACCAACTCTACAATGAAGTTTAGCCATCCTAAACATCCTGCTTTCGAACTGATCTTCAAGCCAAGATGAAAGAAGTATTTTCATAGAAATACAAGTAGAGACAAATGGATTTAAGCAATAGAATGGATCAGGCTTCAAATCTTTACTCATCTTACATTCATAATTAATGAAGAAAACCAAAGCATACTTTCTTTGAACTCTCTCTAAACCATTCTGAAATTATGTCCCATCATGTCCTTTAATCTTATTTTGACTTTAAAGTCCTTTAAAAGATACTGCAGTTACTAACAAAGTCAGGGAGGTGAAAGATAACAATGAATGGTCAACCTTACCAATGCAAGATGGACAGGGTCAGATCTTTGTCTTTGAAATCCTTGATCCCACAAAATGATGATGCATTCTATAGCAATCTTGTAGGCATTTCACCCTACAATTTCTGCTCTTCTCCACAGTTCTAACTTCCATAGTTTAATTTTAAGATTTTCCCAAGAGAAATTAAAAACCACAAGTCACATGAGTACCAGCAATCCTTTGAAACTAAAATCCATCTAGAATAAGAAGTTAGGTCTCAGTGACAAAGGACCATTTGGTCCCTTGTTGATTATGTAAGGACAGCACATTGTGAAGCACTGCTGATTGAAAAAATTTTAAGAAATTCAGGAGGTACTGAGAAGAATTGAAGTACTTTATTTCACATTTTCCCTGGGAAAAGCACTGTATTTTATTGGCTAGAGAGTTTAATAAAGGATTTTCTTTGTATTCAGTATTTTTCAGACATTGCATTTGGTAGCTCCTTTATTCTTATTAATCATCTAAACTTCTTGAAATTTCAAAATTCATCATATTTGCAAAGTCTTTGTTAAGGAAAGAAGGTTGCTTGTTACCTAATGTGACTAAAGAGTGGGGAATCAGAACAAAAGAAAGTCGGTAATAATTGGGTTTAGAATTCGGTGGTTATTGGAAGTGGGGGCTTTTATCTGAGTTGTTACCTTCAGCTGAGACTTGTCCAAATAGTCTTTTCTACTTCTTAAAAAATCACAATTTCCTGCTCACTTTCTGGTTTTATAATCCAAACCTGTCAAATTTAGAATTATATATCAAATTTAACTTGTCTTTCTTTCCCTCTTCTGGGCTCAGAATTGGGGATCTAGAGTTTGGGAAATTGAGCCGTAATTTTTCTGTGACACGGTCCTCCTGAATTCTAGAGTTTCTAATGTGTTGAAGCACAAGGAAAAGGATAGAGAAAACGTCTCCAACACTTCTTTCGCTAGCTGGTATTGTCCCTGTGTGTCAACAGGGCTTGTGAGCTCTTGGTAAAGTTAAGACAGGTTATTCGCTGCACATTCCCTGACAGAGAGTTTTTCCACTACATCGTCCACTGATCTCTACCGACTTGTATCCAGCATTCACCAGTGTGGTCCATTTCTGTCTTTGTATTGCTAGATCTCGGTGCCAGCTCTTGCCCACTGTGCAGCTCTGCTGAGCATCAGCAGTATCCACTTGGCATGCACCAAATTCTTTAATTTTTGTCATCCAGAGCATGAGAGTGCAGCCTCCCTACTGATCCCACCTACTGATTTCTTTCCAGTTCTCCCATTAATCATCAATGCATGATTTCTGTGGGGTTTTTTCAAATTAGTATTTATAATACTATTTAGATCTTATCCTAAATTCCTTTTTTATGACTATATATTTCATTTATTCCCTAGTGAATGGAAAATTAATCTCAACATAATATTTATTACATGTTTTCATTTTGTGACTGGCTTTTGAAAAGTCATATTCATGAATTGTGGATTTATGATACTAAATAGGACATATAAATCTTAATGATCTTCTTCCTGCAAATTGTCAGGATAATTATAATGTTATGTTCCTGATTGTGTTGGAAAACTAGCAGTCCTTATGTTTTTCTTACGGATATATGACTAGAATGAAAAAAGAATCACAAATCCATAAATGTCACAGTCATTTCTGATACTCTTCTGAAGAATAAACGCTCACTGCATTCATTCCATAGACCAATGTCAGGGAATGCACTTCCCATCAGTTCCTGAAACTGTGTGTATCAAAAAAATGCATATAGAAAATGTTTTATTAGCTTTTCATTAACTCAACAAATGCTCAATGACTGCCTTCCATGTGCCAAGCAGTTATCTCTAAGGTAAGAATGATGCAGATGGAATAATGTAACTGTCAGCCTGCTAGATGTCAGATACACTGAATTTATGTGCCTCATAATCGAAAAATGAATTATATGGAACAACAGAGATTGAGTAGGAAATATTTATTGAGAGAGCCATCTCCTGAGAGACAGGAGGGGACCAGAAAGATTTCACTTCACAGAGTTAATTTTATAGAGCAAAAATCACAAGGTGGATACAACATGGATCAAAAGTATAATCAACCAATAAAATTACAAGTATAGCTGTTTAGGTAATAGTGATCCAATGGGGAAGCAGATCATATAGCAAGTGTACATGAAAAAAAAAAGGACCTTTTTAGGAAGGGGTAGATCAGGAGGTCTTGGTCACCCATGGAATGTCTGATGTCTGTGTAGAACTTATGGGTCCAGGTAATGCCAATTATAGTATACTCTTTGATTTATTGCTTATCCCTCCGGGTGGCATGTAGACCTGGTCATTGTATTTTTATCTTGAGCTCTGGCCTCAGCAGTTGCACTCCCAGCCACAGTTCTAAACTGCTTTCATCCTCTTCACTGACTCATCCTAGGACTTAGCTCTGTCTAACTGCCTATAATATTTCTACATAACTTAGCTATCTATGGTAAAAATGTACTGCTTGACCATGTGCCTGTAAGAAGCAGCTCCAGGTCACTGATCCAAGTAATCTGTTAGAATCCCACTGTCCATGCTTGTGGTCACCAAACACTGTTCAGTTTTCTTCCTGAATGCAAAATGCTCTCACTTCTGCCAAAACCCAAATCTCATCCAATAATTACTGGCACACTGACTGACTCGTAGCCTAGTCAGCCATCTCAGAAACCCAGATGTGGTCATGATCTAGAAACCTGTAACTCCTTCATGTCACACTTGGCGGAATGAACACTACCGAGAATCCCCTCCCAGCTTTGTGGAATTGGCTCTACCAGCATTCCAATCCTGCCGTAGAAGCTCAAGAGTGGTTTGACAAACTAAGGGCCATTAACTTTTTTTAGAGAAGCTTCAGCTTTTTTTGACAATATAACTCTTTACAGACTTGGCAGTTTTGGTTTTTACCTCATTCCCTGCATCACTGGTTACACCCACAGCTCTTTTCTAGAATCGTTTCTCTTGAATTCTCATCCTCCCACTCTCTCCCTGTCAGACCTCCATCTGAAGTTTGGGGAGGAAAACCACACTCTGTTCTTTTCTCCCTAATTCAATCCTTTAACTGAACAGAAATATTGGGCATCACATTTTTGGGTGAATGTTTACACAGGGATAGCTGCAGGCAGTAAGAGGTTTTAGGATGAGAGGCTTATGATTTCTATTTTATTCACACCAAGTTGGGGTGAAGAAGATATTGCCTTATACAGCACTGAAAAACTGCAGATGTTTTGGACATACTCTATTTCTTTTCAATTCTATGTGCAAAATGACAAATTCTTTTTGTGTGAATATGATAATATTCTAATTTTAACTCCTTATTTTCATTTATATTATTTTCTAATATACTCCCTAAGTTTTTATGAGGAAGATTTCTGTGTTTACCACTGCATAATGTGGACCAATGTCTTCCTGGTATACAATAATATTTTGTATACCTTGCTATTGAAACACCAAGACAATGGCACATATTTTAAGTTGTGCAATAGCACATCTCATTTGTATTCATTTATCTTTGATTTTTAATTAGCTGAAAAATAGAAGGTATCTATAGAACTTCTTAAACTGTTTTCAAATCTCAATACTTAACACAACAGGACTTCTCTGTTACTGAGGTGCTCTGTGGAATGTCTGCCTCTGTTCTTCAGTGATGTTGGGGATCCAGACTGATGTGAGGCCTTTTCATTATTTGCAGTCATGTCACCTCAGCAGTGCTGTTATACATAGCATGGGACTCAAAACATATTTATGGAACAGATTGGACATGAAGTGGAAAGTACAGAATGAATTAGATGAAAAAAGTCAAAATGATGCCAAGGTTTGTTTGATTAAGAAATAACTGCCTGCTGACAACTCAGTCTCCTTTTCAAAACTCAAGAGGGGAGCCTGATCTCAGGCTGCCAGCTGAGATGGAAAGGCTGGGATCAGAGGTGAGGAGACCGCACTCTCAGCATGAGGCGGCCCTGTCTGCAGTCAGGAAGGACCATCATCCTGTGCGGGAGTCCACCTCTCCAAGCTGCACCTCCATCTGCAGGAACCAACTTGGCCCTCTGCGTTCCTAGAGACCACTAGTCCCTTTCCCCTGCAGTGTCCACTGTGACACCACATCACCGTCAGGATTAGTTGCAGCAGGCATTTTATCTCTGTCAGGCCAGTTATTAAAAAAACTTCATGGTGCTTGGTCATCTCTCATTCCTAGACTCTAATCTCCTTAGGAAATTGTTACTAGTGCCTTCCCTCACTCCGGCAAAAACCCTGACCCCCTTTCTGTATGGAATATATTTCTGTGTGGGGAGCAGCTGAAACTGAAGATCAGTCACACTTGCAAGGCTAGAGCAAGTCCAGCCCCAAGGAGCCAGGCACTCAAGGGAGCCAGAAGTTGTTAGGCAGTGGTGTTTCACTTGACCTCAACCTGCTGAGTTTGTAAATAAATGCTTTGCAGATTGTTGAACAGCTCTTTTCTACACCAAGAGAGAGGGCTCCACCTGATGTCAGCTTTGTGCATATTCACTCTTGCCTTTCATTTTGTTTAATTTTAAAGATAATAAAACAAAACAAAACAACAACAACAAATAAAACAGAACAAAGCAGATTAGAACAGAACAATGCAAGCGACCTAGCACATTGCATTAACGGTGGCTACCATAATTTCTCTTGTTTTCTTCAACGTAGTTGTCCATATCTTGACACAATGAATTCAAACAAAACAAAAGAGAATAAAACCAGTCAAAACAAACAAAAAAAAAAAAAAAAAAAAAAAAAAAACGAAAGCATTGCAGGTCTTCAAAGCCAGACAATAGGAAAGTCCACAATGGCTACCATAATGTCTCTTGTTCTCTTCAAAATAGCTGTGCACACCTTCACACATTTGCCTTCGCTTCTTCACAGTTCTGTTCCCAGGAATTTTCCACAGCTGTGCTGGATGTGGTGTTTCTTGTTCATAGCTCCTTCTCCACCTACTGTGCCAAACATCTCTTTTTTCACCTTTTAAAGAAAAGGAGATAGAAGATACCTTCTGGATTGAGTAATTGACGTTTACCAGTATTTGCTAGCTCCAACTTATGTCTCTTTTCCTTCGTATATTCTCTTGCCGCTATTTAGTTTTCTACCACTCTAATAAAAACTTTCTTTATTAAAGTAACTAATAGATCCATGTTGGAAAATGTTACAGTGCCATCTTTTACTTCATTTGACTTGAGCTTTGCTATCATTTAAAACAGTCTCTCTCTCTGATATCCTGGTACTTTTTGTGGCCCTAAATTTTCTATGCTTTCTCCCACCCCCACCCCAGTAACTAATAGCTTTTTGCCATTACGCTCCCTTAGAAACTGTTCAACTGGAGGACTGTCTGTCCGAACTCAGCATGTGCTTTAAATCACAGGTCTGACCCTTTAATGACACCCAGCCTTTCCGTACACATTTCATCTAGGTCAGGTCATGTGCTCACTAGTGTCAGATTTCAAGTGAATCCTTTCTAGTTGTAGCCACAAATATTTTGCAGACCTTTTGACATGTTTCCTGTAAGTCTCATGCAGTTGGCCTTTCCCCATTCAGCATAGAAAACTCTTCGCTTTTAGTATCTTAAGATTTAAGCAGATTTAATTACAACCTGCTTCATATATATATATATATATATATATATATATATATATATATATGCACATTATATATATTCTAAATTTATTCATAAATCCTATCCTGTTAAGTTAATTTGTTTTGGAGGGATGTTTATTTTAGAGAGGAACAGAATATTTGGCCTTTGCATTTGATGTTCTATCACTGATATAACAAATTACAATACACAGAATTTTTAAGCAGTACAAATTAATTATCTCAGAAAGACATAAGTCTAACACTGATTTCACCAAACAAAAATCAGTATCCCTAGATCTGTCTTCATTTCTGAGTCTCTAGGAATGAATGTATTTTAGACTGTTGGGTATTGTTGGCCAAATTCAGTGACATGCTCAACATTAACTATTTCAAAGTGTTTTTGCAATTCATCTGACGGCAAGAAAGAGCTCCACAGGATGTTAGTCTACAGGCCTTCGCAACTAGGTGTTTGGCGAAATGTTCATACTCCAAGTGTTTTAGTCTTTCTGGTTTCCCTTTCCACTCCAAGCATCTTATGTGAATCGGGTCTTTCTGGAACGTACCTGGGATGAAAGCTCTTTCACAGCTCCTCTTCAGAATTTTCACTGCTTGATCTTTGCGTTCTGGTGAGAAACCTCATCCTTGGGCATCCAATATCCTGGTGTACCTCTTTAGAATCCCATGACTGAACTCATTTCTCTCCTTGTCTCACAGAAATCTACTCACTGGGTGAGTTTCTAGGCTGCTGCAAAAGATCTTTTAAAATCCTGCTTTCTTGTAACATTTTAGCACCCTGTTCCAATCTCTGCCACACACACACACACACACACACACACACACACTCCACTTTCATTTTCCAACCATTCATAGGTGCTGATTTCTATCCTTTCTTATTTCCTCTAAATTGCTTTAAGCTTTTGTGTCATTTACTAACCTTCATATTAAAGCATTTTGCAATGAATTCTTGTCAGGCAGAAGAACAGCACAGTTGATTGTTCTGTCAATTGCTGCTATTTGTCATTTGTTACTTTGAAAACAGGCAGGGTTAATTTTCTATTTGGCTGTGTCTGGAACTGAGCCTCAGTCCTCCAGTTCACAAAAGGAAAAAAAATAAAGGAGAATAAAGTTTTTTTCTATATTGACTGAAAAAATTTAATATATCAACCTGTTGTTAAAAAATATGTTATGATTATCTTTATAAAAAATGGGATTTATTTAAGTAGGAATTCATTTCCTTGGCTTTAAAATGACCTTTTCAATGACTTCACTGCTATTATCTACAACGAAAATAAAACTTTAATCAATCATGTATCATATAACAGGGAATTTATACAAGACTTCCATTTTGCCAAAATATCCCTAATGAGATTAAAAAGAAGGGATAGCTAATAAATTAAGAAAAGTTTTGAGCAGATATTATTTTAGGACAGCGGAGATTCAAAGAAAAACCCTGTTTGCTATGTTCCTCTTCCCTTTTTAATCAAAGATGACTTTTATCAATATAAGCCAGTGATAAATAGTAAGTGTTATAAACTGAACATAAATACAGATCTCAAACCTTCCAGTGTGAGACCAGTCTCCAAATTATTTGTATCTAACTCAGAACTTTGTCTTCGATTTCTGGTAATTAATTGCAAATTACATCTACTAATTTGTTTCACACTTATTCGTTAATTTCCATGATTAGGTGTGCTATGTGCTCGAGGGACTAACTCATCTATGTCTTCTGTACGTCAGTGTCTTAAAATACACTGATTGCAAAAGGCAGAAAGGAACTCAGTGATCTATAGAACCTGGATAAAGTATGTTACAAGAATGCAAAAGATGACGTCACATCCCGAGTTGAATCTAAAGACCTTTACTAAAAATCCTTTGAAGGAGGGTTAGGCTGGAGTGAAGTTTATGGACGAGAGCAAAGGAGAAGCACTTCACAGAAGAAAATAAAGACATTTCGTCTTTAAAGTACGTCAGTTGTTCCCCTATCTCTAAATTGATCAATCCTACAAACCCAGCTTCAAAGGAAAATGCTCTTTCCTGTGGGCTAATCAGAAATGCAGTTCTTGAATGCTGAAGCAAGAGCTTAGGTTTTAATTTTTTCTTATCTTCCTACTACAAAAGTGTGGGAAAAACAAAAGTCTATAAAATATGAGTAAGATCAAACAAGTAGCTGGTAGTTTTCTAGAATGAAAGCCACATAAAGCTGTTATATTTTATTAGCATTATAAATTTTCCATGACAACCAAAGAAAGTCCTATATTCTCTAATGTATAGTCTTGGGAAATATTTTTATCAGATTAAGACAAAACATGTTCTTAGTACATTAATGAATATAAAAATAATCTTTGTCACCAAATCATAGCAAATCTGCAAGAGTAAGAGTTAGATATAGTTAATAATTATTATTTATGCCAAATACAAACAGGAGTATTTTATCTCCACTTTCCAAACATCATTAATAAAACAAGACTTAGTGAGGACTAGCTATGGTGACGATTCCCGTGCAAAATTAGTCTTGCTTTAACCTTTGAAAGTAAAATGATACTGATGCCATACTTTTTAAAAATTCTGCTCTAATTAGGCAAGAGAGAGAAATAAAAGGGGTAAAGATAGGAAAAGAAGTGAAATTATCATTGTTTGCAGATGACATTATACCCTACATTGAAGACCCCCTAAACTCCATTGAAAGACTCTTAGATATAATAAATAAATTCAGTAATGTAGCTGGATACAAAATCAATACTCAGAAATCAATAGCATTCCTATACACTAACAACAAAATTACAGAGAGGGAAATAAGAGAAACCACACTCTTCACATTAGCAAGCAAAAAAAATGAAATATTTAGGAATTACTCTCACTAAAGAAGTGAGAGACCTATACAAGGAAAATTATAATACACTGAAAAAAGAAATTGAAGATGATCTCAGAAAATGGAAAAACATCCCTTGCTCATGGATAGGAAGAACAAACATTGTGAAAATGGCCATTCTCCCAAAACTGTTATATAGATTCAAGGCAATCCCAATAAAAATACCATCAACATACCTTATATATCTAGAGAAATTACTCCTAAAATTCATCTGGAACCAGAAGAGACCTAGAATAGCAAAGGCAATTCTAAGCAGTAAAGGCAAGGCAGGAGGCATCACAATCCCTGACTTGAAGTTGTAATACAAAGCAACAGTAGTAAAATCAACATGGTATTGGAATCAAAACAGATTCAAAGATCAATGGAATAGATTAGAAGATACAACCACAACTACAAACACACTCAAACACCTTATCTTTGATAAAGGAGCCAAGCAGTTTCACTGGGAGAACGACAGTCTCTTTAATAAATGGTGCTGGAAAAAACTGGCTCTCCATTTGCCGAAAACTAAAGCTAGACCCATGTCTATCACCATGTACTAAATTAAAATCTAAATGGGTCAAAGATCTGAATATTAAAAAAGAAGCACTAAATCTGTTGGAAGACAAATTGGGTAGAAACCTTGAAGACATAGGAGTAGGTAGAGAATTCATGAACAGGACTCAAACCGCATGGGAAATACTTCCCAGAATCAATAACTGGGACCACTTCTTATAAAAAAGTTTCTGCATGTCAAAAGAAATCTCCAGCATAGTTAAAAGAAAACCCACAAACTGGGAAAAGATTTTAGTGAACTCTCTCTCTCAGACAAGGGACTCTTGTCTAAAACATATAAAGAATTAAAAAAAACTCAAACCCCCAAAATTCAAAGATCCAATCCAAAAATGGGCATCTGGATGAATACGCACTTCTTAGATGAAGAAATACAAATGGCAAATAAATACATGAAAAAATGTTCAGCATCATTGGTCATTAGAGAAATGCAAATTAAAACCACACTGAGATACCATCTCACACCTGAAAGAATGGCCAGGATCAAGAAAACCAACAACAACAAATGCTAGAGAGGCTGTGGGGGAAAAAGGAACTCTCCTACACTGTTGGTGGGAGTGTAGATTGGTACAACCTTTGTGGAGGTCAGTCTGGAGATTTCTCAAAAAGCTGAGATTGGAAGTCCCATTTATTCCAGCTATTCCTCTTCTAGGCATATTCCCAGAAGAACTGAAAGCATCATACCACAGTGATATATGTGCACCTATGTTTATAGCAGCACAATTTGTAATCGCCAGATCTTGGAAAAAACCCAAGTATGCATCAACTGAGGAATGGATAAAAAAGTTGTGGTATTTCTATACAATGGAGTACTACTCAGCTATAAAGAAGGATCACATTGAGATATTTATCAATAAATGGGCACAGCTTGAGACCATACTCATAAGTGAAATAAATCAATCTCGCATGTGTGAATACCGAATAGTTTCCCTAATGTAAGTAATGATTCAAATATATAAAAGTATATGGTAATCATGATTCCCCATTATGTAGCCTTGAAGCCTTATAAAGTTTTCACTTATTAATGGAAAGGCTTTATTCTGGGCTTCTTGATATGGAAATATTTGAAGCTATAGTATATAAAGTTATATTCAAATATTTCAAGGAAAAAATAGACATTATGGTAACTACTATTAAATCGGGTTATTTGGTGGTGAAGCACTAGGTTGCTGAAACAGTCATGCTTTGACCTGTATTGTTATATTGCTATGTCCTCTTTTATCTCAATCTCTCCCTTATTCACTAAAAAAAAAATATTTAGTTATTTTTTATGTTTTTTTTAATTAAGGGGAAAAAATTTAAAAATTAGCAGGATATATTATAGTGACTTTTTTTGATTTCCTATTAACTTTATTTGAATTCTGTAATACTCCCACTCTCTTGTTTTGACTGATTAGACTCTGTTCTATTCTGTATGATAGTATCAAGTTTGGGGGTATAGGCAACTACTTTGAAGGCAATAAGATTCACTAAGATGTCCATTCTGGTTTGACTATTATCTCCTTTGGAAGTCCTGTAATGTTTACAATGTTTAAGTTTTATTGGTCTTGTTCTCTACTGTTTTGTTCAACTTTATAATACCTAATGAAATAGACAATTCTTTTTAAGTAAACAAGAGACATTATGGTAACCATTGTTGATAACCTTGTACTCTGTTCTTACATCATGTACTATGTCTATCCTTGGTTTTGACTAACAGTTTTGTTTTGCCATATTTGACTTTATTCTCTTCCAAAAAAAAAAAAAGAAAAGTAATAAAACCCAAAATGTGTAAATTTTGTTGTAAAAAAGAGAGGGGAAAAAAAGTGCACTAAACGATACAACTGCAAGTGTGTTGAGGGGTGTTAAATAGCTGACCAGATTAATGTTTTTGGTTGGATCATTGAACACAACTGTTTGCAGTCTCTCTGTTTGAATGTTCATTTTGTATGCTTTGATACTGTGATTTGAGCAACTATCTCTAAGACGATAATGTGTAATCTATTAACTGGTGATTTCTTACAGTTTTTTGTTTTGTTTTGTTTTTGTTTTTTTGTATTTCTGTATTACTTGTACCCTTGCACTGCTTTGTTTTGTTTTGTTTTTTCTCTTTTTCCTTTTAAATAAATTTTTTTAAAAAATTCTGCTCTGTGAATTTGGCTTATAACATATTTTCTATATGTGTGGATTTAAATTTGGTTTTCAAAAATAGCTCATTTTGGATCATTTAACATTATTGTCTTTATCATAGGGACCAAATTTATTGAAAGCAATAAAGCTTGAAGCTAATCATCTTGTCAATAGACATTAAAAACTTTCTATTAAATATCTGTTCTTTGAAACTTTTATGTAAAGATTCAAAGTTATATAGTCACACTGTCCCCAACATTCTGTAAAGAAGAAATGAAAAGGAGCTGACACCCAGAGAAAACCACCTGTTTGCCTATGGAATTCTGTTTTGCACTACCCCTACCATCATTTCTCTCCAATCAATAAAGCTATTTGTCACATATGTCACCATTTAATTTAATTTGATTTGATTTCATCAAATGTTTTGTTATTCCCAAACATCTTTGTTTTGAAAATTACTGAACTTTTTCATTTAATCCTATATTTAATGAAACCATTTTTGGGTTTCTGCTATAGAGAATTACGAATTTAGCCATAGATGCTTTCTATTGGAAAAGGTCCTCTTAGTGAAAAAGTGTTTCTATCATAATGAGAAAAAAGTATGAAATTTAAAGAATATTTTAAAGTTTATAGTCTTTTTAAAGAAATTTAATTATTTGTATACTATGTGTAGAATAAGAAACTTGAAAGGTTAAACAAATGACAAAAAGAACTTGGTCTATAAGATTTCCCTTTTTATTTAATCTTAACTTTGAATGAACCTTCTTCAACCTCTAGGTATGCACTTACTAATTACTAGCACCAAGGTGCTTGTCATATTTCACATTTTTATTTTTATTCCAAATACCTTATTAGATATTCTCATATCTATCTATGGAGAACTGAAAATACTGTTAGGTAGAGTAATGCAGATGAGATGTTAATTGATTGTGTTTTTACCTATGATTTTAAATAGTAAAGTTCTCAAAAAATTCAAACCAATAAGAAGTAAAAAGAAGATACAATCATATTATCTCCTTTAGCAGTAATTTAAAATTTCTAAATATAATATAGAGGTTATAAAAAGGCTTAACCTGTAAAATTTTGCTTTATTTTTAGAAAAGCTTTCAAACTTTTATGGATTAAATTAAAATGCCTATATCAAATAAAAGTATTTTAAATACATGCTATTTGTTTCCACCAAACTTTTTCTATGAAGTTTGGAATTCCCTCTTTACAAGAAGAAAGATCTTTCATTTTTGAGAAAGCCATGAACCTCAGCACAGAATTATTATGTTTATAGCCCTATGTTTACAAAAGATTATTTCTTGGGTCCTAGGAAATGACCAAACAGACAGTCCCTGGCCTCTGACTTCACTTGAATGAGTCAGGCTTTTGTGAGAATCTATCTGATTTTTGACATAAAATAATATGACTCACACCCCTGAGGGGCATTGCCAGAATTAAGCGGACAGTGGCTAAAGTAAAGAAAATTGCTCTGCAGATGTGAATGCTTCAGCTGTAGTTTCTGTTAGAATTTCTCTACTGGGGGAACTGTGTGTTCTTTCTGCTTCATTTTCTAACAATATCCTCTGGTCTTGATAAGTCTAAAAATAAATGACAATTTTGTCACAGCATTGGTTGATTAGACTTATTTTTGATGCTAAGACACTGTGACTAAACTCAGGAAGGAAGGAGGGCCCAGGTTTGTTGATATTGACCATTTAGGAGAGCATTTAGTATTAAATCCCTGGAGTCATGAAACCTGTCACCGATAACTTTTTATGGGGAGTTTAAAATGCCAAGGGAAAGGCTGGAATGTCTTCCAGAGACAGAAAGAAATATGATAGAAATCTATATTAAACAGTTCTACTACAGAATTATGCTACATGGGAAAGTCACAACTTTCTGTGGGCAAAGGTTAATGCAAAAGTTCTAGTACAACTTCTGTAAAGTGACATTAGCGTTTACTCCAAAATATTCAACTTCATGCAAAACTCTTTTGCATTTGCATAGTAAAATAGCTGGAGGACCTGGTTCCAATTATCATAGTGGTGACCAATGATCTGATATAGAATACAAATATAATTCCAACCCCCATTTGGCTCCACACACAGGGAGTTTGGTTAGAGTCTGATTCTTTGATGTTTGGAGATTTGAACACTTTGAATACTTCAAGATTCTATGTTATGATAAAGCAAAGAAAAAATCTTGTAAATATAAAGAATTGGTGAGGTAATCATTGCAAAAACAATAATCATCTAATCAGTGTCTTAGAATTGGAATTAGAATCCATGTCTTTGGAATTTTCCAAAGAGGACAGATATTTTTAAGAACCTACCTCACTTCCTCAAAAGAAAAGATTGTCCTCCTTTTGATGTTGATAAAGGAATCGTGGTCATGTTTTCAGGGTAATCTGTTTACCCATAGAAATTCAGAATGACTCAGAGATCCCCTCTTCAGTCCCCTCCAGTCTAAGTCACAGTCAGGGCAACATTCACTTACTTCCTCTAGTCTGATGCTCTTTCAAATAATCATGTGATTTTTAAATTTTATAATTAAAGTTTTTTCTAAGTACTTGCAACCTGAGTTAAATTAATCTCAGATATTTTAAATGAGAAACAAATTTTCGCTGACCATTACCCTGCATAGAAGAGTCACAGGGATCATTTAAAACAACTTGCAAATTCAATGTCAAAAGTGGGAAATAATGGTGGACATTTTACTTTCACTTCTTCAATATCGTTTTTGTTTAACTTGAAAATTACTAGGAAAAATTGTTCAAGAAGCATTCCCTCGCTTTCTGTCCCTTGAACTACACTGACACTGACACATGTTCTCATTCTGTTTTTAAAAATTTTTTATTAGTGCTTGCTAATTGTATAATAGATTACATTGTGACATTTCTGTACATGCATATAACTTTCTCTCTCATTTTCAGAGCTGGAGGCAGAGGAGTGGTGCAAGCACCTCTGCATGGAGTGTCTAGGGACCAGGCTCAACGACATCAGCCTTGGAGAGCCAGACCTACTGGCCGCAGGAGTGCAGCGGGAACAGAATGGTCAGTGAAAACTTCATTCTTAGTAGTAGAGAGTGCAGTACTAGCTATACAATTTTGACAGTAGAGAGGACCTCAGAGATGTTTCACCCCATAGTTTAAAAAAAAAGAAAAAAATGATCAAACCAGGTTACTAGGAAACTTTCCCACAACCAGTAAGGAATAAGCCAGGTCTCATGGTTTCTCATCTGAGGCACTGTCATTTGTTCAAATGAAAATCTAGTAGGGTAAGTCATGGTATATAAGACTTTTGCGTATGTAGCATCTCTATTTTCTCTTTGAGAGTTGGTTTAGCTTTGGAGTTTATATAACAAATCTAACTTACCAGGTAATCAGCTTTTGCAGCATTTAGCTAATACAATCAGGGAAAGTACAGTAGATGAAATCACGAAGCATTACAAAATTGAACCTTATGTGATTAGCAGTGTTGTCTATTGTTCTCTGACTTTGCAGGCATTGCTGATATCTCTTAAAAATGTATGCTGTGTGTTTTTGATTAGCACGTCTAATGAAAAGAATTTATAATTTAGCATAAGGTTTTAAATTATACACATATTATTAATAATCATGAGCTCATTTCTATCAGTTTTAACACTATTGACATTATCACCACCATCATATGATCATGTGAAAATATAAAGTTTTCAATATTGCTAGTGTTTGATGTCAGTTTGGGAACAGGTTGAAGGTTATTGGCTGAACTCAACATTACTTATGAAAAAGAATTATGGAATTATCTATAGTTTACAAAATAGATAGCACAGAATAAAAGTGCACCATGATAATGCTTGATGATTATTGGCTTGTTGTTAACAACCATTAGTATCATACAGCCCATGAGAGCACTGCTTTTTGTTAGTCAATAAAATGCAAAAAAAAATCAAGATTTTCCTCCTAATCTTTGATCATGAATATACATACATGACAACAGTGTTTCCACTTGTAGTTTGCACACAAAAAAAGTGTTGCTGTGCTCTAGTCACACTTCCTTTTGTTTTCCACTTTTTCTTGTATGTTTGCTCAGATCTGCATTTGTCTGATTTTTTCTTACAACTATGTTAGGCACCCAACATCCGTAACTGTGCCACATAAAGCATAGTATTTATTCAGTTTAAGAAAAGAAGGAAAAAATTTTACTATAAAAATTTATCAAACACTATATAAATGAAATGTGAAAAAGCAAATAAATTAAACTTGTGGGTAGGAATATTATGTATCTTTTCTTATATAAATTATCTACTTTCATTTTAAAATTTTGTAATTGTTTCTGGTCTTTTGGTGTGATCTTTTGGTTCATTATATCTTTGTGTCTACTTTCATGATATTGTTAATTTGTCTAGAATTGAAAGGGACACTTTCAGTTTGGAATTTCAAGTTAAGACAACCATGAAATTAGATGTGACAGCCACATGAAAGGCAAGTTTTTCTTCTTTTTAAAAAGAAGGCACAAAGAAAACAGAAAGTTTTCTGCAAATACTTTACAGCAGACTTGAAATTGTAGTATCACCAATGTCACAAATTTTTGTTATATTTATTTGGTTTGATAATCCTGACATACAAAAAGATATGTTTTTAAAATATATATTTAACCAGTTTATGAGTAATTGTTTAGCTAAAGAAGGTGTTATCTAGTTCATTTAAATGAGCTCCTAAATGTACATGGTACCTTCCTTATAGTGTACAAAGGTACACTGTAAGAAAATTAGCAATCTTACTATAATACACATACATACAGATATGCATGTGCATATACTCCCTAACACTCTTAAGTATTTAGTATTAAAGACAGAATTGTTGGATGAGAAATATCTTTTTTTCCCTGGAATCACCTTCCTCTTGACTCCCAAGATTACAGATACAATCACCGTAGTTGCCTTATGGAATCTGCACCCCCTTTATTTAAGGTGTATTTCCTAAGACTAGATAATGTATTTGTTCATTTCTACTTATCCGCCTTAAAAATAACTATACAACATTTTTTTAAATTGGTACTTATCCTATGGGAAGACAATACAAAGATAAAGAATGTTAAGAATTTCTACCAAGACTTGCTTATTAATTCTAGTATGTATGTGTGCATATATATATATATATATATATATATATATATATATGCAGTTGGGAGAAAACTGTACACACAGATTGCCACAAGTTCTTACAAGAATTTTGTCACTTCCTAATCACCAGGCTTCCTCCTAAATATATTATAATTCCATTCAAGAGCCCCTTGAGTTAATTACCAAAGATTATAAGACTTTGAGGTCAAGGCTAAGATTTGATTTTAGCTGCTTCGAGCCTCTTCTTCAGGTATATGATGGCATTGGAGCCCAACACTGCTTTGCTTCTTTCTTAGACATTAGGCATACTTATTTTACTTAAAATATGTAAGGAAGATACTCATTGTTTTAGCTAGTTAAAATTAAAATAACACTTTAAAAACTATCTTTTCATGGATTCGCAATCACTACTGCAGACTTTTCGTGTATAACAAATCTAAAATAAACAAAATCTTTAACATTGTAATACATTTCAACTCATTAGTATGCACAGATTGAAACAAATCCATTATGAGAGATTTGTTATTACAGATTCAATTTTTTTGTGGGAGAAGGCACTCTGGTTTTAAATTACACAATGAACCCTTAATCAAAAACTTTACTTTGTTATCCTGTCAGTCATGTGCTTGCATTTAGTTTGAACCTTTTCTCATAAAACATTAAATACATATGCATAAAGAATTAATATAATAAATTACATTGGCATGGTTTGCAATTGATGTGAGATATTCTATGATCAAGAGAAGTCACACAATTTGATCTTTGATTATTGCACTTTTTTGACATTCAAAATCACTCCTTGTCTTCCATTTTTCTGACTCTCTGAGCAGCTTTATCTTATTTAATTTGAGGCTAGATGAGACCAGATATTGACGTAAATAATTTTTAAAAGTGAAAGAGATGTGTTGCTAAGATAGTAGGATTTATTGATTAAATTTTTGCCTTAATCATCTTTATCTAGGGCTGTCAGCTGTTTTCACAATGACTCAGAACCCACATGGTACAGGAGAAAATTAAACAAGCTTACACACTCATGCGCACACACACTTATTTCTAGACACTAGATCTCAAGTGACACTGTCACAATAAAGAGCATATGAAGTAAACATTTCAACTTTGATACGACATTTCAAATTGTTACAATATCCAGGATCTCTGAGTAGAACCATAATATTTGAGATTCCATACTCATCTTGGAAAATGTTAATGCATGGTATTATAACATAGTTATTTTTAACAACAATAATAACTCTAAAAAAGCAATATTGTATATTAATCATTAATAGCAAAAGTGTGTGTAACAAAGAAGTAACTCACTTGTAAATAAAAATTCAAGCTATTGAAGCTTGAAGGGTCACAGAGAAAATGTCCAGTTTGCTTTCTATGTGAAAGATCTCTCCATGTAAGGGAAAAAAGAAAATATCCCAAAACAAATAGGAAATGTAACCTCAAACTGCCATCTGATTTATTCAGCATCAGATCTGAAGGCTTTGTTTTGTCTAGGACCTAGTGGTTCTGCTTGTGATTGAACCAGACTCAGAAAGTGTTCCTACTTTTACCCTAAACATATGTATAACAATTTTTTATAACTAAAGGAATATTCTAATGATTCTAAACTCCACCTCATTTGCCACAGTACACATGCTTCCTATCTTGAGCTAAACACATTTGAATGTCATTCATGCAGTTAATATTGATATGTCAAACACATGTGAGGACATATGTATACAAGATCCAGGAAATGTAGACTTGAAATCACCAAATAGTGAGGGACATACACCTATAATCAAGATATATAACCAATGCTTATAAAGTAACATTGTGCTCTCAGTCATCAAAAAACCCTCCATAGCAAAGGACTATAAGCCTGTCTCTATTGTTCATGCATAAGGAAAATGGCTGAGTTACACTAGATTCTTCTGAAATTGTGCCTAAAATACAGGCATTGTGCACATGTGTACAGGTGCACTCAATCTCCTCATAAAAAGTTGCAGGTATCCAAAGTAACAAAAAAATAGTAATGAAAAAATAGCAAAGCAAAACTTGTAACATAGTGTAAGCCTCTGCATATTTCATGTCCATTAATATTCCAGTACCCAAAGAAGTCCCATGTTCAAGCTCAAAGTCAAGAGTCACAGAAGTGTAATCAATTAATCAGAGAAGCCATGACAGAGGTTCAAATGTATGTCCTCTGAGACTAAACAAAGAACTGAGAAAAAATAGCAGTGGAGCAATTTATTGTCAGATTAATAATAAAATGCCTGCTACAATAAAAACAAACACTGTGGAATAGTTATGATTGATGCTAATCAAAATAGCTTACCTAAATTTAAAATTATTTTTTATTCCTCCAAATAAGCTTTCTCAGTTGGATCAGTCTAAAATTCTTAATGGTCATCCATAGTTAAAATTAGTACTACCAGGATTCATCAGCGTGTGAAAAAGCCCACTTAGAAAGCAATGTCAATGGTAACAACAAACTGTTTAGCACTTTTCCCTAAGTTTTCAAGTGATGTGAAGTCAGTGATATTTACCTGTATAGATATTCTCTATAACCAGTAACAAAAGTTTTCTAGGTTTATGGATTTGTCCATAGGTGACCCTGCAGTCTATATGGTCTATCTAGCATTTCCCAAAATGCATTCCAGACAATATATTTTGACTCTGATGACAACAGTGATGATGACCTGCTCTCGGAAATGAAAGAATCCATTGAATGAACACAGTGCAGCCCTCCTAGATTGTACCAAGTGTCCCACTGAAAAAGAAAGCATGGGAATTCCAATTTTCAGTAACTCTGGATGCTGTCTTAGTTGAAAAATATGTCTCTACAGAAGTAAGCAAGTTAATGTGGTAGTTACCATGCATTCTAATCCAGTGGCATCCGTTGTATTCATATGAAAAGGGGACTTTTGGGCAGAGACACAGATATACAGAAGGGAAGAT